CTGGCGGACCGGCGTGGCGGAGGGCACAGCCGTCGCTTCGGCCCCGAGGGTGGGCGGGGCTGGAGCGGCGTCCCCAGACCCCGCGTCGTGAGAACCAAGACGCTGGCGCTTCCACAGGCTGTTGACAAGGGACGCTGCATCGCAGGGGTCAGAATATTTGCAAAGCATACACCTGATAAGCGAGTTGGATCCAAAACAGACAGGGAGCTCACAACTCAAGCAATCAACAAACAAACGACTTTTAAAAGAGCTTGTCTGTGGGGCACCTGGATGGCTCGGTGGGTTGACACCCCGACTCTTGATTTCCGTTCAGGTTGTGATCTCATGGTCGTGAGATTGAGCCCTCCGTCTGGCTCCGCACTGACAGCTGCTTGGGATTCTCTCTCTTTCTCTGTCTCTCTCTCTCTCTCTCAAAAAATTGAACTTAAAAAATTTTTTTAAAGTTTCTTCTTTCTTTGCATTTTAATTAGCTTATTGACTACATCTGTGTCTCATACCTTTTTTTTAATGTAATTTATTGTCAAGTTAGCTAACATAGTTTATTTTTAACTAAGTTCTGCACCCAGTGAGGGGCTCCAACCCACAACCCCGAGACCAGGACCGGAGCCAGCCAGGCATCCCGGGACAAAGGAGTTTTAAGCAGGCGAAAGACTTGAGTGGATATGTCCCAAAAGAACAGACTCCTCGCTCAACATCATCCAGACCAAAACCCCTTCTTTTGCTACGACGACCTGGAAAAAGTAAGTGCTGGTGAGGATGCGCAGAAATGGGGACCCTCGGACGCTGCTGGCAGGGATCTCAAATGATACGGCTTCTGTGGAAGACAGTTTGGCACCCCTCCAAGTTAAAGACAGAGCTGACATATGACCCAGCTGTTCCACTCCCCTAGTGCATAGCCAAGAAAGTTAACACATGTCCACACAAAAACATGCACACAAATACTCTTAGCGTTACTCACTAGAGCCAAGAAATGGAAACAACACAAATGAATGGATAAAATGTGGCCGTGTCCATACAATGGATTGTTACTCAGCCAATTAAAGGGAGCAGATGTCTAGCACACCTGCTACAACATAGATGAGCCCTTGAAAGCAGTACCCAGCGAAAGAATCTAGACGTGGATCATGTAATTCCATTGATATAAAATGTGCAGAGGTGCCTGGGTGGCTCAATCAGTTAAGCATCCGACTTCGGCTCAGGTCACGATCTCACGGTTTGTGGGTTCAAGCCCCACCTTGGGCTCTGTGCTGTCGGCTGGAGCCTGGAGCCTGCATCAGATTCTGTGTCTCTCTCTCTCTGTCCCACCCCTGCTCGTGCTCTGTCTCTTTCTCTCTCAAGAATAAACATTAAAAAAATTTTTTTTTCATGTGCAGAACGGGAAAATCCAGAGGTGGAAAGTAGGTTAGTGGTGGCGGCAGGCTGAGGAGAGGCGGTGGGGGGTGACTGCAACCGGCCGTGCGATTTCCTTTTGGGGTTGACGAAAATGTTGTGAAATTAAGTAGCACCGATGGTTGCACAATTTTGTGAATTTACTAAAAACTACTGAACTGTGTACTTTGAAAGGATGCATGTATGGTATGTGAATTATATCTCAATAAAAATTTCATTTACAAAAATGAAGGCCAAAGCAGTAAAGTGCCTGGGCAAAGTGCAGGTGCAAAGGCCCTCTGGTGTTAAACTAAAAATCCTTAGAAGAAACAAAACTAAAATCTGGCTATAAAAAGGAGACGAGGGGCATCTGAGCGGCTCAGTCGGTTGAGTGTCCGACTTTTCAGCTTGGGTCATGATCTCATGGTTCATGAGTTCAAGCCCTGTGTCGGGCTCTGTGCTGACAGTACAAAGCCTGCTTGGGATTCTCTGTTTCTCTCTCGCAGACCCTCCCCTGCTCTCTCTCAAAATAAATATTTAAAAAATAACAAAAAGGAGACAAGAGTGGGCAGCTGCACTTACCAGTTGTTCCAGAATCACATGGAAAAGAACAGCTTCCCTCAGATTGAATTGCCTGGGTGGGGACTGGCTCTTTTTTTTTTTTTTTAATTTTTATTTATTTTTACATTTATTTATTTTTGACAGAGAGAGAGCAATAGTCGGGGAGGAAGAGAGAGAGGGAGACACAGAATCCTAAGAGGGCTCCAGGCTTTGAGCTGTCAGCACAGAGCCCCATGCGGGGCTCCAACTCACAAACTGTGAGATCATGACCCGAGCCGAAGTCCGACGCTTAACTGACTGAGCCACCCAGGCGCCCCGGGGACTGGCTCTTTTAACCTTCAGAAGGCTCTCCTGCTTGGTGAGGCTGGAAACTTACAACGTACCTGCCACAATCCCCCACCGCCAGAGTCCCGGCGGAGTTAGCCCCCTTCTGTTGCCGCATCTGTGTGACACTGGAGGTAGAAGGGAGGTGACCACGTCCCTCCCGCTGCTCCTGGCCGTACTTGCTACCTGACAGCACGGCTGTAGAACTTGGGTCTCCCCCGCAAGGGAGGCCCAGTGGTGGGTTGCCTTCAACTTGGAGCCGTGGACAGCGGTGACTTCTTGACACGAACCCCTCATCCTGGGCCAAAGCTCTGGGCAGCTTGTCAGCAGCTCCACCTGTGTGGCCGTGGGCCGGGAGCTCTGGGAACTCCTTTCCCCCACCTCCAGAGGGAGCATGAGGAAAAGGTGCCTTAGTGGGTCAGTTCCGTATTGTTCTGGAAACCGTTCCAGACCTGCTCCAGTACAATCCAGGTCCTTGAGCCTCCCACCTTACCCCCCGGTCTGTAAGCTCCAAATTTCCTGTACAGAGTCTACAGAACCAGAGCATAACACCCTCCCCTCCAGAAACCCGTGTGCAGTCTTGATACGGCTGAAATGGCTTCCCAACGTGTCCCAGGTGGCTGACTCGTGTGCACACCCCACATGCTGGCCAACGGGGGATCCAGCAGGCGGCTGGGATCCTCCCTCATCCAGGGGCCAGGCCAGGGAAAGGAAGTGCGGGTTCTTGCCTTCCTGCGTCCTTGGGATAACACCGCTTTCCTGCTTGAATCTGAAAGCTGGCATCTGATACCCCGACCATGCGGATTCTGACCTTAGCTTCCTGGGGCTTTCCACGCTCAGGGATCATGCAACCCAGTCAGAGGCTCGCCCCAAGGTCAGGCTTGCTCCCCTGAGGTTCTGGAGGAGGAGCAGAGGGCAGCTCCTGTCATGTGATATTGGCAGGGATCCAATGTCAAACACCTTCCATGGAGGGCAAGAGCTGTCAAAACCAAGTGGCCATCAGAGACCCATCAGACCACTGATTGTGCATCTGGGGATACTCGCATGTGGACAAGGAGGTACAGAAATGCCCGGACAAACGCCCGGCAGCAGGCTGGAGACCGGGGCCGTCTACGAGATGAGCCACCAGCAAGGAACACGCAGACGCTCATGTCTCTGAAACCACGCTATGTCGAGGTGAGAGTTCAGTGTGCCTTGTAAGCCTTCATCGGTGTGAAGAGAGGGGTCAGAGGGGCTCACACATGCAGAGCTCTCTGGGAGAAGCCACGGCAACCACTACGAGCAGGGGCCCTGCAGAGGCCCTGGGAACGAGGGACCGAAGGCAGCCGCTCTCCTCTGCACTGCTGCCCCAAGTGTATGGATTACTTTAAAATACCATGTACCCATGAGTCCTCCAAAGTGGTTTAAATGGGTCACCCACTAATTACCTGCAGTCACAACTGGGAGTTATCTTCTCTAGTGGTTTGATCTTCCAACCAAGATCTCGTGTCCTTTCACAGGAGAACCCAAGGTCCCAGTAGCTACTCGGCTAATTTCTGCCCCCAGAAATGACTTAGTAGAGAACCCTGGCTATCACAGGGGACATTAACGTGCCTAAAACCAACCTCCAGACGTCCTCCAAACCCACCTTCCCCGGGGGCTCCATCTGTCAATCGCCCCAGCTCATCAGTGCTCAAACTTAAGCTCAAGTCAGCCCCAACTCCTCCCTTCTGTGCTCACCTCCATCCACCTGGCAGCAGGAGGCCCAACTACTTTCCTGGCCCCACACACACCTCACTCACCCTCTGCACATGGCCTCCCCAGGTCACCACCAACATCCTCAAAGGTCTTCCTGATCCTACTCGAACTACCCCATCTATTAACTCTCAAGACCTCAAGAATATCTGCCCAGCCCCCCTGTGCGCACAAGTATGCCCATGCACACACCCCACACATCACAGGCATGCACACATCTCATGGGCACACGGGTGCCACGTGCACACACTCAAGCACGCGATCACGTGTGCACACACGGGAGTGCACACGCATCACATGCAGGCACACATCACGTGCACACAGGCACCACACGCACACACACAAGCACACAATCACACGTGCATGCACAGGGGTGCACACGCATCATATCCATGCACACATTCAATGTACATACAGGCACCACGCACACAATCACTTGTGCATACATACACAGGGGTACACACGCATCGTATGCACGCACATACACAAGCATGCACATACAAAACGCACCCCTCCGCCACGCGAACTGTTCCAGACTTGCCAATTGCCCACCCGTCACCTGATCCCTCTCTTCTTGCTAACAGGTCACTTGTGTTCCATGCCATGTTGCACACCACTGGGTAAAATGCATCCGCCAGTGTCCCTCGCAGTTAGACCAGCCTGTGTGACGCGCTCTTGACCAACGAGAGAAAAGGCTACTGGTGGGCCTTCTGCCAGGAACACTCCTGGAGGGGCCGCCCTGTCCCTCTTCTGTCCCAGTCCCCCCAGCAGGAGCGTGGGCAGCACTGGGGTGGACGTGACCGGGTGAAGGCCGTGTGCAGAGGCCGGGTGGGCGGCTCCGGGGTCAGGGCCACCTGCCCAGCTTCTCTGGCACCGCCGCACTGCCCAGCTCCGTCCCAAGGGCCTGGCACGGGTCCGGGCTCCGCTCACCAGCATCCTACTCTGTCCCTTTACAGCACGCGGCACTGCCTCCCTCTCCGGACGCAAAACACATAGAAACGTAAAACAAGGGGTGCCTTAGGCAAAGTTTGTACTTATTTAATAAGAAAACTGCTTTTTTAAAAAAATAGTGTCTTTCCGTGCTGAGGTGTGAGCGGTTACTGCACGAGCTGGAAACAGAGTCGCGACAGGTCCTGCCGGCGACGGAACCCAACCTGACGCAGGTCTCGGGACCCTGAGGCTGCGGGGCCGCGGCGCGGCTCCCTGGGTCGGCGAGGATGGCCCTGCACCCGTGGGCCAGCCGCCGCCTCAGTCGCTGTCTCCCAGGGGGCTGGGTGCCTGCGGAACAAGAGCAAAAGTGGGGATGGGGCGGGGCGGTCCGCGGGGACACACCACACCAGGGCCCCTCCCCCCGCCTGCCCTGTCGGGGAGGAGCGCCAACACGTGTCCTCGCCTGCCTGCCTGGGGGGCGGGGGACCCAGGGGAACAAGGGACGGGATGTGGAAGGTCTCTCTCAAGGTGTCCAGCCAGCCAGCAGCCAAAGGTGGTTCCAGCAATGGCGAGCAGAGGGCGGGCCCAGCACCCCCCCCCATCAGATCTGCGCATGCGCCGCCTCCTACCCCACCTGCCAAATTAGAGTGGCAATTTTCACTTAAAATTCCAGAATGCCACTTCCTCTTGGAAAAACTTGGGAGTCTCCCGACGTGGCCCTCCCCGCCCCTCCTCACATGACCCTCCCGCACAACGTGGCCCTCTCCCGGAGATGGCCCACCGCCCCCCCACCCGAAGTGGCGCTCTCTGGCGGCGGGGAGACGGAACAGGGGCGCTACTGCCGGCCAGCGTCCACCGATCCCCATCGCCGCGCAGACACCGCTGGCCACTTGTGACTCCACCTGCACACCTGCTTTTCCACACCTGGCCCACTCGCCTTGCCTACGTCACCCGCGTGTACCAGTTTACAACCCCAGGCGTTCAGGCAGCAGTGTTTCTGTGGACGCCTAGATGACGGCCCCGAGAACACCGGCTCAGGACACCTCCCCCCCCAGGGGAGAGACCTACGGCCGCAGACCCACTAGCTCCAGGGCCTGGAACAGACGCTCCCTCCTAAATGCAGTTGGCGGGGATGAGCCGCCCCCCCCCCCCCCCCGAGCCATGGCCCCGGCAGGACAGGATCTTGCAGGTGGGACATTCGGGAGCGGGCGTGACAACAGACACGTGCTGAGGACCCAGCAGGGCTCACCCTGACACTTCCATCTCACCAATGGGAAGGCCAGCCACCAAGCACAGCCTTCGTCCAAAGTCACTAAGCACAGAGCGGGGAACGGACACCAAGCAACATTTTGGGGTCACCAGCCACCCATTCCAATGCCCCGGCTCTGCTGGTCTGCAGTGGTGTGACCCCGTGACCCCCCCCGGGGCTCAGCTTGCTTGTCTGCATGATGGACACAGGGACACCGGTGCAGAGCAGGCTAGAAGCTCGGCCGAGCTCCCGACAGGGAAGGCCTGTGGCGGCCCCAGGGCCCCCGCCTCCAGCCCCTGGTCCCCACCCCACCTTGGCGCCCAGGCCGGCTGCCGCGTGGGCGGTGGCGTCGAAGTCATGCACAGGCAGGGTGCCCAGCCACCGGGCCATGGACCGCTCCTGGCGCTCGGTGCTGATGATGGTGGGGTAGATGTGCTGCTCTTTGAACGCCGCGACCCCCGCCTCCTCCTGGGTCCAGTCCAGCGGCTCATGCAGCCCGTCGTTGCCAAAGCGCTGGTTGTACTTGTCGAAGTGCACGCGCTCCAGGACCAGGCCGAGCCCCGGCGCCTTGGGCACGTCCACCTTCGCCTCGCCCCAGCTGCGTTCCAGCAGGCTCTCGGGGGCGTAGCCCTTGATCACGGCCACCACCAGGCCGACCATCTTCCTGATCTGGTGCGTCATGAAGCTCTGGCCCTTCACCTTGATCACTGCAAACTCCATGCCCTCCCGCACGAAAGGCTCCTCGCAGAACATGTCCAGGATGTAGCGCCGAGCGCTGGCCTCCCGGGGCCCCTTCTGCGAGGTGAAGTTGTGGAAGTTGTGCGTGCCCTTGTAGCAGGCGAGGAGCGCGTTCACCCGCCGCAGCGTGTCCGCGCTCAGCCGGTAGCTCTCGTCCTGCACGTCGTGGTCCTTGTGGGCGAAGGCGAACGTGGGCAGCATGTACAGGTAGGTCCTGGCGTCACACTTGTTCTTGGAGTTGAAGCCGCCTGTGACCCTCTTCAGTCCTTGAGGGGAGAAGGGGCAAATGAGGACCACACTTCCCGCCGACAAGCATCTGGACCGCACACGGACCGACTTCCGCGCACAAGCCTGCACCCGCCCAGCGTGCAACCTCACAGCCACGCACGCACACGCACACGCACACACACACTCATCAAAAGCACAGGCATGTGTTAAAACCCAGGGCTCGTCAAGATGCAGGGGGCTCATCTCCACAGGACGCACAACACTGCGGATGGGAGGCGTGGCGGGACCCGAAACCACCCCTTACGAGCGGTTGGTTCTGTGCAAAGACACCGAGGCAGCAGCAGGTTTAACAGCAAAAACAAACAAACAAACAGAGAAAACTTAGAAAGCCCAGCCACAGAAAAACGGATCCAGGATGCTCTGGAACGATCGTGGGGTGAAGCAGTGGGCAGCCCCTGAAGACGAGGAGGGCAGGTCTGTGGGAGACACCTGTCCCGTGGGGGAGCCAGCACGTCCTTGGTCGTGTCTGCGTGGCTGTTGTATCTGCTTGGGGGAAGGTTTTCTTTTAACGTTTATTTATTATTTTTGAGAGACAAAGAGAGCGTGAGTGGGGGAGGGGCAGAGAGAGAGGGAAGCACAGAACCCAAAGCAGGCTCCAGGCTCTGAGCTGCCCACAGAGCCCGATGCGGGGCTTGAACCCATGAACCGTGAGATCATGACCCGAGTGGAAGTCAGACACTCAACCAACTGAGCCACCCAGGTGCCCCGCTCCGGGGGGAATTTGAGTTACAAAGTCACGGTCGTCCACACAGAGTATCGCCAAGCTGCACTGTGCACAGGGCCGCCCCATGTGTGATGCCATGCAGGGAGCGCTGACCACTGAGCTGACCGGACGGGACGCGGTGTTTGTTTTAGCGAAACGGGCCCGTCTGTGGAAGGTGCCGCAGAGCCTCCCACGGAAGCGCACTGTTCGAGGCCTCGGGAGGCCTGGCGAGGATGGGCTCCACTAGGCGCCACCCACAGGAGTGTCTCCTGGGGGGCGGAGCGCCCACTCCCCCATGACAAACAAGGGCCCCGCTTCGCTAGCACACGCGGGCTCGGCAATCGACGGGTGCTGGCCGCCTCACGCCCAGAGTCTGGTTTGTGCCACAGCTCGCAGCGGCTTTGCCCAAGAGACTCGCGCTCGCCCACGCCCACACCCCAGGCGTGCTGCCTGATTCCACAGACAGAACCCCACAGCGACAGGAAGCAGAGCGGCAGTGGGGGGCGGGTCTCACCCAAGAAGGTTCCGCAGACGTGAGGTATGTCAAAACCTCCCAACTGTATACTTAAACCTGCCGCTGGTCATTCGGCAATTGTACCTCGACCGGCCGGTCATTTAGCCGGCTGCACGCAGGGCGGCCGGCACGTCCGGGCGGAGCCATACACGCCCATCGGCACCAAGCCCAGGGAAGGGACAGGGCCACGCCGCTGTGGTTTTCGGGCTCCACGACAAGTGGGCTGAGGGGAAGCGGCAAGGCAGGCTCGAACACAGACGACACCACGGCCGCTCGGCCTGGGCGCCGGCAGGGGAGGTAGGGCGGGTACAGTCAGGGAGCGCGTGCGGCCGAGACCGAGGTCCTGGGGCCACGCGGCCCCAGCCGTCCAGAGTCTGACAACCGCCGCTCTCAGCCCCAAAGCAAGCACTGAAGAACCACAGCAAGTTACAGCTACCGGGGCAGCCAAGATGATCGTTAATTAAACGGAATTACGAAAAATGTTAGTCCAGAAGAAGAAACAGAAAAAAAGGGGAACCCAGAACAGACACGACAAAGAGAAACAGACGGCGAGCTCTACACCAACCATCCCAGCACCAGGGCGAACGTGAACTGCGCGTGCAGGCCACCGAAGAGCAGAGAATCAGACTAAAAATCCCCACCGGGCTTGTCATAAAAGGGAATAATCGCCCGTTGTAACTTTCCCGAACCTGGACTTGCACGTCCAGCGTTTGGTTAAAGCGAGGCACGTGCAGCAGCACGTGAAGGGTTGTTCCAGGTCTGTCTGCGCAGCTGGCCTTCAGGAGGGCAGGGAAGCCTGGTGAAACGTCAGGGCCCCGCACGCGCAGCGCTTACCCAGTATCCGAATGTGAGGTGGAAGGTGGCCGTTGATCTTCTCCAAAATGTCATCGATCAGCCACACCTTCAGGGACACGACCTGGCCCGCCGCGGACACGCCCTGCAAAGGAAGCAGAGGGGTCAGGTGCCGGCCGGAAGCTGCAGTTTTGGAAAGGACGCTGCACCCACCAAGGGGCCGGCAGCACAGCTGCCCAAACGGTGCGAACGAGTTCCAATCCCCACAAAACCCGCACCGCGTCAGGCAAGTAGGAAACACAGTCCCCCTCGGATGGGACCCTAAACTAGGGGAAGAAGAAGATACGATTTAGTCGGGAGACCGCGAGGCAAAGCTAGGAAGATCCGCCAACCTGCTCCAGGCACCTGCGGGCACCCTCGCTCGGGCACGTGGCGGGGGCAGGGGGCTCACGCTCCAGCACACGCACACGCCATCCGCCCCCTCGCCTCACCACAGGGCACTTCCTGTGTCCCTTCCCCACGGGGAGGGCGGCGTGGCACACCAAGGCGCAGGGGGTACCGACTGGACAGGGAAGGGGTGCCAGCTGCAGAGATGACTGGATCCAGATGTGCAACCCCCCCGCCCCCACCGATGCTGCACTTTCACCTAAAAGCTGTACTGAGAGTCAACGCGGCAGAACTTGCAGGGACAGGGAAGTGGACAGGAGTGCTCCTGGGGGGGCGGGCGGGCTCTGGGGTGCTCACCCGAGTGCAGACACCCAGGCGTCCACTCCAGCATCACCCGCTTCGCCGCACGCTGCTGCGTGCACCCGTGGACCCATCACGTTTTCCAAAAAGGCTTAACACACGCGAAGAAACCAACTCTAACAAGTGTAACGTTCCTGTCCAGAACCTTTATCCGAATTGAGCCACGAGGACAATCGGACAAATCCGGATTGAGGACATTCATCAAAACGCCATCACATCAGGAAGGTGCAGGAGGCATTTTAAGTGAAAGGGAGCTCAGAGGCCAGGCCGGGCACGAACCCGGGTTTAGGTGCTGGATCAGGAACAAAACCAATGCAGGCGGGTATTGGTATCCTGTAAGTGTTGGGTTCTCAGGAGCAACAGGTACACTGAGGCGGTGCCCGGGGCGCTGGATTTCAGGGTGAACAATGTCTGCAACTCACTCTCCAAAGGTTCTGTTTAAAGCGGGAAACTGGGGCGCCTGGGTGGCTCGGTTGGTTAAGCGTCTGACTTCAGCTCAGGTCATGATCTCAAGGTTCAGGAGTTCGAGCCCCGTGTCGGGCTCTGTGCCGACGGCTCAGAACCCGGAGCCTGCTTCTGATTCTGTCTCCCTCTCTCTCACTGCCCCTCCCCCGCTCATGCGCTCTCTCGCTTTCTCTCTCGAAAAAAAACATTAAAAAAAATTTAAATAAATAAATCAAGCAAGCAAGCAAGCAAGCAAACGGGGGGGGGGGGGGGGGGGAAGGAGGGGCACCCGGTTGGCTCAGCTGGAATCGCGTGGGACTCATGATCTTGGGGTCGGGAGTTCGAGCCCCAGATTAGAGGTAGAGATTGCTTCAAAATAAAATCTTACAATAAAATAAAGTCTTAAGGAAAAAAAAAGGACGGGAACGAGGGGTGCCTGGGTGGCTCAGGTGATTATAAGCGTCTGACTTTGGCTCAGGTCATGACCTCACGGTTTGTGAGTTCGGGCCCCACACTGGACTCTCGCCATTAGCGGGGAGCCTGCTTGGGATCCTGTGTCTCCTCTTTCTGCCACTCCCCATGTGCTCTCTTGCAGGGACAGGGAAGGGGACAGGAGTCCAGAGTAAACAAACAAACAAAAAAAAAGGGAATGAAAACAGATCGCACTGCTACATTTCTGTATCAGTCACATGCTGACATGAGAACCTTCTGGACGCACTGCTGGGGCAGGAGAGACTGCCAAGGGGTGTGGGCTCCTTTCCAGGGAGATGAGCATCCTGACAGCAGCTGCAGGGGTGTCTGCACCACTCTGCAAACGCACGAGTCCACTGAATCGCACACTTTGAGTGGCCAAACTGTGAGCAGTGAATTGTGTCTCAACGAAGGTGCTTATTTAAATATCTGAAATCAGGGGCGCCTGGATGGCTCGGTTGGTTAAACGTCCGACTCTTGATTTCAGGTCAGTTCAGGATCTCAGGGTTTCTGGGATGGAGCCCCGCATCGGGCTCTGTGCTGACAGTGCGGACCCTGCTTGGGATTCTCTCTCTCTCTCTGCTCCTCCTCTGCTTGCGCGCTCTCAAGACAAACAACTATTTTTAAAACTATAAAAAAAAAATAAAAATCTGAAATAGAAACCAACAAGGTGTCGTCATTTATTCATCCCAGGGGCCGGAGGCACGAGCGTTGGGATGTTAGTATCAGAAGTTTGGTTTCTTCAGGCTCTCCAAATTGCAAGAGGAAACACACCCGGACAAAGCAGTCTCTAGTAACAGTGGAAATTGAGCACCACGCTCTGAGATGCTCTTTGTCAGCTCAAGCAAATATCTGCTGTTTTCTGCCTTGAAAACAACCAGAGAACCCTAAATGCAAACGTTAAAAAGAAGAGGAAAACCATAAGGGAGTCCAGGACCCTGAAATGTTTCCGCATCGCCTACAAGAAACGAACCCGCGGCCCCATTTCCGTTTACCCGTCTGTACAACGGCACCAGTTCCAGGATCCCGCCGGCCTGACGCACAAGCCCGGGGGATCTGGGTACCTCGGGACCCTGGGGGGCGTTATTCAGCAGCTCAGGACCCCGAGCTACCCGTGTCTGTGTCAGACCCGCGGTGACCTCAGGCAGCCACAGAGGCATCTCAGGGCCAGGGTCTCGGAGCAGGGGCAAAAGGCTTGGTGCACACTATGCGTCTCACGTCTACCAGCGAAGAGCTTGGGGTCTGTGCCCTCTGCCCTACCCACCCGCCCTGCACCCCTCCAGTCTCCTTAGGGAGCTCCTGCCCAGGCCAGTCCCAGGACAGGACAAGACCACCCAGCACAGCTGCCATGCCAGCCGTGACTGAGCCCACGACAGACACGTGAGCCAATGAGACAACAGAGTGGGACTCAATCTCAGGACTGAGTGGACAGCACCGGGCCATGGCCACCGAGGCTCCCCAGTCCACCAGATGTGGCCAGTGTGGTGGTGATAAGCCATGAGCACGGAGCACCCAGCACACTGCCAAAACGCACACACATGCGCACACACGCAATGGGAACTGTGTTAACTGTACTTATGTTGACCACGTGTTGAAAGAAGGCTATCTTGGAAATACGGACTCAAATAAAACCGACCATTAAAACCAGTTTCACCTGTTTCCTCTCCCCTTTCAGAAAATCTGATGTTACAATCCCACAGGTATTGGCAAGCCTGAGACGCCTGTATCTAAGGCAGACGTTGTGGCCACCATGCCACCCGCAGGGACAAAGAAGGAGGATTCACAAACAGGACACAAACCAAGTGTGGGGAGCAGGGAGCACTGAGGTCCAGCCACACCTGGACTGGAAACACTCCAGAACTTCTCAGTTCCTTCCATTTCGGCGCGTCTGGTTTGTGCACCGGTCATTCACAGCCGTGAGTCTTGACAAGGGAGCCGTGAAGCTGTGAAGTCAAGGACAAGCGCGGTCCAGGAGCTTCAGGCGCTGCTCAAACCTGTGGGGGAGGCGCAGAGACGGTGCCTACCTTGTCGGTGCGGGCACACCGCTGGAAGGACATCTTCCTCATATCTTCACCGTGATTTTCAGGAATACAGCCCGACCGGACCAGGGCAGACACCAAATCATCTTCGATGGTCTTGAATTGTGAGGACCCAACGTTCCTCTGAAGAAAAGAATAGAAAAGCAGTTTTTTTCACTCAGTCATTGCCCACAGGTGGGAGCCCTGGGCCCGCGATGCTCCACACATGGAGCCTGTGTGCTGTGTCCACACTTGCGGCCCTGGAGGGACACCGCAGTTACTCCCCACCCATGGCAGGTAGGACAGTTACCGGAGGGTACCCACAGTCTCTAGAAACGCTCCACCCCGGGCAGCCAGGTGAAAACAGCCAACAGCAGGGATCACCCGAGATGCTGCTTCCTCCCACCTGGTCAGATCCGAAAACCAGCACCTCTCCTGCTGGAGACCCATCTGTTTGCAGCGGCTGGGTGCAGAGGGACACCCTGTCTTAGCCCCCACAGGGAGGCAGGCCTCTGGACACACAGGGAGAAGCGCACCCCAGGACACTACCAGCCAGGGCTGGACTTGGAATCCTTGGCTTTTCCTCAACCCTTCAGTTCACACGACCAGCCTGCACAACAACCTCCTGGTATTAATGCGTGCTGAGAAAAGACACCCGTGACTTCTAGAAGCTCCGTAATACTGCCCCTCAGATCTTGCCCTAACCAGACTCCAGGGCCCGCAGGGCTGTGACATCAAGGAGGTGGCCCTCCTATTCTCACAGAAAAGAGAATTCTGCTTGCCCACAGGCTCTGACCCTCAATGTATCTGACAAACAAGACAACCGAGTCTTCCAGCCGCCCCCCCGCCCCTCGCCTATGGATGAGAAAAGGGCACGAAGAGCTTGAATCAATCGCTTGCCCGTGGCCACACGATGGTCAGCGGCAGACGGGGCCCCCTGGACGCCCGGGAGGTCCGTGAAAGCCCCCCAGCGTGGCATCTCCCAGGGACGGAGCAGGGCTCAGAGCCGCCTGGATTCCAACCGAAATCCTGCCCAAGGGGACTCACCCGACCTGCCTGCCTGTCCCCGGCACACGGCGGCCCCGCACACCTGCATGCCGTGGTAGCCCTTCCCGGAATAGCCCATGAGCAGCACGATCTTCCGCTTGGGCAGCTTCCTGTGCTGCTCCGCGTCCGAGGCGCTCCGGAGCTTCTTCGCCTGCTGCTCCGTTTCCTCCCAGATCCTGGCCCCGCCCCGCCAGCCACCCCGGGCCTTCGGGTCGCGCTCCGGCCGGGCGCCCACGGGTGCGGGGGCCTCCACGTTCCCGGCCATGGGGGGCAAGCTGCAGAGACACGGACGGCGTGAGCGACGCGGCCGCGCGCGGCGGGGCGCAGGCTGGAGACCGGGCCCGGGCGAGCGCGCCGTCATTACCGGAGCAGACGCGGTCCCAGGCTCGGGCTGCACGGTCCGCAGGCTCTCCTCACGGCCCCGGCCGCCGCCCGCACGACTCGGATCGCCATGCGCGACCGGGGGGCGGCGGGGGGCGCGCGCCCGGCCCCGGCCCTCCCCCGGGTCCTCCCCGGCCCTTCCCGCCCGACCCTCCCGCCCCGCCCGGCCGGCTCTCCCTCCGGAGTGCGGGAGGCCGCGGCCACTCTCGCTGGAACCAGAAGGACGCGCACCCGCTCGGCCCCACTCACGGCGCGGCGGAATGAGCCCGAGCCGGACCGCGTGGGCGAAGGCGGAAGTGCAACGCGCTGCGGACGGCGACCGGGCGCGGACAAAAGTCCCTCGGGCGGAGCTTAGGCCCGGGGGCGGGGCGATGCAGGGCCCGAGGGCGGGGCGAAGCGCGGCGCGCGACTCCTCGGAGCCTGCAGGTGCCGACAGGTGCTCAGAAGGGCGGGCGCGGACGCTCGGATCCCGGTTGCACCCCTGCCCTAGGGAGCCAGCGCCGCGGGCCCTGCGTTCCCGAGGGGGACCCCAGGGGACCCCAGAGGGCCCCCGCTGAGCCCCTGGCCTAGAGGCTCGCAGCAGCAGTCCTGGCGCGCAGACCAGCGCCTCCTCAGACTTTGCAAGTCTCCCGGATCCGTGGTAGCAGGCGTTTGCTCTGCGCCAGGGCTGGTTCTGGCACAGTTGGGAGCACTTGGGGCATACGTGGGGGGGGGGGGGGGGGGAAGGGGGGGGGGGGGGGGGCGCAGTCCTCGGGGAAACCTTGAGTAGGGCCCTGTGGGGACGGGGCGGGGGGGCTGGAGGCGGTGGCGGAGGTGCCTCATCTCCGGTCCGGGGCCTCGGGAGGCGGCAGGAAGCGCCTGCGCTGGGTCAGCGAAGAGAAGGACCAGGCGCTCAGTAGCTGTGAAGCTCCCGTTCTAGTGGGGGCACGCACAGTGGAACAACCAATCGGCAAAATAAATAGGGCATCACAAAGTAAAAAGTGTCGTGCGCAAAGCGAACCGTAAGAACCGGCCGCACGCTCGCAACGTGAGTGGACCTTGAAAACACTGCCCGCAATGAAAGAACCCGGATGCGCAAGTCCCCGTAGTTTTGCGGGGCTTAGTGGTTGCTGACAGGGGTCTCTCCTGGACCACACTTCACGCTTAAAGGTGAAGATGAGAAGGAACTCATGCAGGTGACAGAGGATGGCTCACCTGTGCTGAACAACTCCCAGGACAGCCCCCACGCCCTCGGCCGGAGGGAAGAGAGGGGCCCCCAGGTTCCGGGGCTGACAGACGGGCCCGGTCATGTGTGACGTAGGGAACTCTGGCTCAGCAGCTTTAGGAAGCATTGGGCTGTCTTTGCAGAGGGCACCCCCACCCTCCTCCCGCAGATGCCCTCTGCAGGGAATGCTCCCTCCCTGCTCTAGCAGCTCTGAGGGCACAGGCCCCACCCTGGCCCTCCCACCGAGGAGATGGCCGTGCAGCCCCAGGTGGAGGGCATCCACAGGAGTCCAGGGCTAACCCAACCGAGACCTGGCAGGGCTGGATGCAGAGGCTGCAGGCTGTGCCTCCCTGCCACACGTGAGCCAAGGGCTCTCAGTGCTGGAACAGAGACCCAGACCAGGCGGAGGTCTGTCTCAGGGGCAGGCCCCAGCCCCCAGGCTGTGCCCCGTGCAGCCCCTGAGGAGCCCCCCCCCCCGCCCGCCCCCAGCCAGGCCATCGGGTGGGAAGGATGGAGGCACCTGTTCCTTCCTTGAGCCTGCCCAAGGGTCCCGGTAGGAGCGAAGCAGGCAGAAGGTACGCACCGTGACAGGTCAGGTGAGAGGCTCCCTGCAATGCACTGTGTGGGGAGCAGACCACCATACCGGCTCCCTCCTCGGACCCCACCAGCTCCGGTGGCTAGCCTGAGCCTGGTCCTCCTGGCCAAGGGCCCCTGTGCATGTGCCTGGAACGTGCAGGGACACGTGAGGTCGTAGGACAGAAAGGAGCCGGTCCTTCCCGCAGAGTTGCTGCACCCCAGGACGAGCCCTCCTGGGCCTGCCCCTTACCACCAGGTTCTTGCACAGGGGATGTTTATAGCAGTTTTAGCTTTAACTGCTAAAACTTGGAGCTGGATAAAGTGATCCATCCAGACAACGGAGTAACATTCAGAGCTAGAAGGAAGTGAGCCATGAAGACGTGAAGAAACTTTAAACGTGCGTTACTAAATGGAAGAAACCAGTCCGAAAAGGCTGCAGGCTATAGGATTTCAACTCTAGGACATTCTAGAAAACTCAAAACTATGGCAGCAGTGAAATGACCCGGTTTGCCGGGGCTGGGGGGAGGGAACGGGCAGAACAGAGGGTCAGGGGGCAGTGAGGCTGCTCTGTGTGATGCCGTGATGGTGGATACACATCATCGTTCATCTGTCCGACCCACAGACGGACGGCAGCAAGTGGGCCCTAACGTGTACTATGGCCCCAGGGAGATGGCGTGTGTCCTTGTAGGTCCACATGTCCCCCACCCACCCAAGGTGTGGACAATCAGAGAAACGGAAGGAGGGCTGGTGGGGAGTGTGGGCACTCTGAAGTCTAATTTAGCAACAAAATGCCACGACTGTCCTAATCCCCTGGGCGTTCCTTCCTGTTACTAACGTACCAGGAGCCCCACAGAGCGGATGGCTCCCGCCAGCCCACCCCCTTCCCCACCAGCACCGTGGGGTCTGCAGGGAGCCTCCGGGCCCGGGCCTCCAGGCCCCACCTTCTGCTGCCTCTGACACCACCTCCCCACAAGCTTTCATGTCTTACTGCGGTTAGCCTTTTCGGTAATGAGGTATTTTTAAGTCACAAGAACAGCTGTAGCTTTAAAAATGCAATCCTAAGAGCGGCCCATCGAGCACATGAAATGATGCCGAAGGTCACCAGCCGTAAAGGAAAAGCAACCAACCACAGCACAGCCGGAATCAGGGCGGAATCAAGAGCGCCGGAGAGGGAGCAGTCCAGCGCTGCTTCCCCTCACAACCCACACCCCCTCCCGGACCCCCTCAGGGACGAGGACAGGCGGCCCTGGTGCCCCGGGGGATGGACACAGCCTCAAACTCACATCTGCACACCTGAGCCCTGGGGGTCTGAGCCCCAGGCTAAGCCCAGCAGCCAGCACATGCAGGGCCAGACTCCCGCGCTACTGAAGGCCACCCGGAACGCGGTGTGTGACCCAACACTAGAGATGGTGACAAATCAACCGTCAGCCACACCCACTCAATTCCAAAGGTTTATTTCCTTAAATCGGTATTACACAATTTAATGCAAATGGGGGGGGGGGGGGTCACACAAAACTCCTTTTAAAGTAGACCAAGAGTCAGGTGCTGTCTCGTGAAGAACAGGATCGGCCGGCAGCCCGCGTGGGCACCCACCAGTCCCCTCCCGTGGCACCAGCGTCCCGGTGGCCTGGGTCTCAGCCGACCATAAAGCAATAAATACGAACACGTTCCGTGCAGCGAGGAACAAGTCGCGGGGCTGGTTCTAAGTCCAAGCACAGTGGCAATATTTCAAGTATTGCAAAGAAAGAAACACAAAGATGTCTGCGTCTTGATGTAAGACATTAAACCCCTCACCCAGGGTGCCTGGACTCCGGCAGGCTTCTTCGACCCTCTCCAGGATATAGACGAGGGGGGTGAGGCAGGGCCGGGCAGGCCAGGAAGACCCCCGGGCTCCCCAGTGGCAGCCAGGACCCAGCCTGGGGTGGGGGTGGGGGAGCTCCACACACGACTTTGGCATCAAAACCCACCGTGAAAGCTGGATGGGAGACTTTGCACAAAACAGCCCCTGGTCAGGCGGGGCGGGGACGGCGGGGACGGCGGGGGCGGGGCAGGGCGGGGGAGGGGCCCACCGTGACAGACACCTCCTACCTCCACCCACGTGTGTGCGCGCGCAATACCAGGACCCGCCCGTCCTGCCCCACCCTTCCAAAACAAACTACAAATTGTCTTCTTCTGTTAAAAAAAAAAGAGCTGCAGAAAAATAAGACACATTTCAGGAGTAAAGTGGAATAGACTTCAACGTCTGTCCTGGGTTCAGAAAGCTTGGTGCTTCGTACTGTCTGTCCCTACAAGAACATTTAAATAAGAGGTCTGTGTCTCCCCGAGAGGGTCCCGGCAGCAGGCACAGCGCACACGCTCGCACACGCTCGCACGACTATGTATATATGTATATATGTATATAGGTATATACACACGCCCCGCAGCAACACGCGGGACTTGGCGGGCAGTCCTGCTCCAGGGCCGCCTGCATAAAGTGCTCCGTGATTCACAAAGCTGGGTGGGTGGTCTTGGGGAAGGAGGGGGACCAGGGGGCCGCACCTTTTCCTGGGTAGAGCGGTCTCGGGGCCTCTGCTCATCCTCCACGCGGCGGCGGGCATTGGGGCCGCCCGGTGGTCCGGCCACACGTGCCCCCGCTGCCAGCGAGGCGGCCAAGGGAAGTCGTGACTGCTGGCCGGGAGAGCTCTGCTAACCTGCGAGGCGGGGGCCCCGGCCTGTACCGGGGTTGCCCGGGGCCTTCCCAGCACGCCGAAGCCCACCGCGGCAGAGCTCAGGACGCAGACGCGCAGCTCGAGGCCTGGCTCTGCGGGAGCCCCCGACCTTCTCCCGACGCCAGCGAGCAGCACCGAGGCCGCAGGCTTGTCCCTTCAAGCCCGGCCAGCTGGCCGCCCCCAAGCCTGTGGGATCGGCAGGAGATCCGGCCGCTCAGGCATCCCGCAGTCAGGCACAGATGCCGGTCAGCAGTGCGGACAGCCTCCGCTCGATGCACAGCTTGCCTGTGGCGAGGGAGACACCGTCAGGGGACCCGAACTGCCCACCTCTCCCCGCCCCTCCGGGGCTGGCCTGCGGCACTCACACTTGGCAACGCTCTCCACGTCTGCCTGGTCGGCAAGGAGGTGCTGCAGCCCCTCCATGAGCAGCAGAGCCTTGTGGTAGCGCTGGACGCAGTCCTCCCGACGGTGGAACATCTCGTCCAGGGCGGCCGACTGCACCTGCTCCGGGGAAGCGGGGGGCTCAGCCCAGCTGCCCTGGCAGCCCCGCACCGGGCCCGGCGGTCCCCAGGACCATCTGGCACACACATCGGGGGCACGCCGTGAGGGCTGCTGGTGCCACTCGGAG